GACAAATACATCTAAATACAAATATATATATATATATATATATATATATATCGATCACTGAAAATAACATCATTTTAGACACTTGGATATCAGTGCAGTCTACTATCTATTATGTCATTCAACAATACATTTGCTCTGCTTGTAATATAGTTCTTTGCAGATCATTTCGTGTCCATCTATTGTTCTAATGCTATGTATAATAAAATGAACCATGTGATTGCTTAATTGACTTAATTTATATTAATATTAGATATTAATATTAATACAAATTAATGTTAGATATTAATATTAAAGAAATATTATCTGAATTTAATGATCTTGATAAGAGTCCTGGTGATAATAGTATTTCTGCATTATATTTATATTTCTTCAAGAAATAAAAATTTGTGTTCGCGCGCGGTGAGCGGTACGAGACGTATGATGTTAGTTTCGTTTTTGAGTGGACTGTATGTGGTCGTGCGCCTGAATATCAAGGAATGGTTTCCTTCGATGTTGACATTTGATAGAGATGGTCCGAATGTGTTCTTCGGTGGAGCTTAAGAGCTGAACCGCACGGTCGCGAATCCAAAGGAATTCTGTTCTTTCGTCGATGTTCGGGAAAATTTCCATCCGGAGCCCAGGTTCGCAATAGGGGGTTGTGCCCATCAAGTGGCCTGAGCCCCGAACAGCTCCAAGGCACCACAGTCTGGACAGTCTGGGCGATCTTTGTTTCAAAGCCCTCGACTGTGATACAGCGCAGTCCCGCACATTCGGGCAAGAGTACATTAAAATAACAAATAACATCTGCGCCCTGTGTCCGCCCTGGAGCCAACAAAACTTTCTTTAATATTTGTTATGACTAGCTCATTGTGAAATTAAGCATTATCACAATAGTTTATAAATCGGATAATAGATCTATTAGATATATCAAACAAAAATAGATATGTTAAATATATCAATATTACAGATCGATCTCCATCATTAACATCGTAGTAAGAATTTTCGAAATCATTGTTTCTAGGAAGTTGGTGTACTATTTACCCTATTACATTTCTTTTAAACAATATAGTTTTATTTCTAGTTGAATTCAATAAAATTCAGTAATATTTTAAAATTACATATTTTAAATTAATAAATTAAATTATAATTTAATTATTAATATAAATTAAATTATAATTTAATTTATTAATTTATTAGGCCAACAAATACAAGACAACAGATAAATGTGGTTTATACAGATTTTAAAAGATTTCAAGAATTACGGAATCGTAATTAATAAGTTACATAGATTGGTTTCGTAGATAATCTGTTTAGGTATAACTCCGACGTATTGAGTGTATCCAGTACTGAGAGAGTTCCCAACTTAGTCCATACTTTTCATCCTTTCTATCAACAATTCTTAAATTTTTTAAAATCGTTACTAATATATCTGATGCTATTGATCTTTAGGACAACATTTTTATCTTAGAATAGTGTTTCACCAATAACAAAATTAAACATGAAAGTGATTATTGACATATAGGTTAATTAATATAAGTTAAATGACGTTAGATTAAAAATAGGTTAATTAATATAAGTTAAATGACGTTAGATTAATAGTCACCATTTTAATCTATGACCTAGATATTATATACATATAATAATACATAGTCTTTCAATAAACATATGTATTATCCACATAGCTATTGTATTTAGCAAAGAGTTTTATTACTAGATTTGGTCAACAATTCAAGAACTCAGAAACTTTAATCAGATTGTATTTTGCCTTAGTTGTATCACATCTTGAATATGTCTCGGTTATAATCACCGCAAACTAAAAAATATGGTAATATTTTTGAAAAAATATAGTATAAATTCTTGAAATTTCTGGCGTATAAATGTAATATAGCCTTATTCTCTAATGACCATAATTATGAGCCGCTAATGGATTGTCTTACATTTTATTCACATGAAAAGAGAAGAAAC